ATCCTACAGAATCCAGCGTGCTCGGCGTGGCTCCTCTCTGTGATGAAGTTCGCGTGGGGCTGGGGGCCCACGGGGGTTCCGCTTGCTGGCGTGGAGTGCCTGCTGCAGTCCCTGAGCTCCAACGCGTTGGTGACATTCTTACCGATTGCGTCCTTGCTCGAGTCTGGCATCGTCTTGGAGAACGTGAAGGCGTTCATGGAGACAGGGTCTGGCCAGGCTTGGGTCAAGGGCAAGACTACGACGATGCTCTTGGTGAAGGGCGCCATCGTGCGCATCCCCGCTGGCATCTTCCCGTTGGTTCACTACGTGGCAGTGGGCGCCCCAGAGACGGCTCAGGGCGAGGGCGAGAGCGCCAACCAGAAGGACGAGGTGGTGGCACTGCACGTGTGGCATTTGCCGCTCTGGCGCGCTGAGGCGATGAAGTCGCTGCCACCCGCGGTGAGCCGCGCGATCCACTCGCACGGCCAGAAATTGTTGGAGGAGCAGTCTTCGTCGAAAGCCTGGGCGGAGCGCGCCAAATTCCATGACAAGTGGTTCAAGGACAACGTCTTCAGCGGTTGACCGACCGCGCGACGTTTCGAAGATGCGTTCAGCATCTGCGTTGATGACGCCGCCATTTCGGCGGCACGGCGGGTCATCAGACCAAGTTTTTTTTACTCAGTGAGGGCGGCGAGCCCATGAGCTTAAGCTGTGTTCTCTGGTTGCGCGCCCTGCCTGGAAGCTCAGCCCGGCCTCTGTCGAAGCCGCTCGTTGGCGATCGTTGCGCGTGAAGCAAGATCCGAGGGATAGCCGCGGGGACTCGGGGCTTAAGGCGAGCCCCATCGGACGAACTCAACGCATGGTGGCCCTGAGGCCTCATTGGCCCGCCGTAAGAGATCCATGGGGCGCCTAGCGCCCGCCTCATCTGGCGAGGAGGAGGGGGAGGAGGAGCAGGAGGAGGACGAGAGGATGAGGATACGGATGGTGAGAGAGGGGGAACAAAATGAAGATGAGGATAAGGAAGAGGGGAGCGTCAAGGAGGATGGGGGTCTATCTTACACCGTTGATATGCTGGTCGAACGTTGTCTTATGGCAAACGGCATAGTGCATGTGTGAACGGCTGCGCCCTCCGTCGCATGCACCCCCTCTTCCGCGCGCCTGTCACCCTAGAGAGCCTGGCCGCGTACGTACGGCGTTGCGTGCAACGTTATACTGTGGGGCGCTTGAGGTCCTGAGGGGCCGATTCGGGCTCTGGCCACGCGCGGCGCGTACGTGCCTTGGGCATGGCGGCTGCCAGTCGGTCGTGGGAACTTGGGTTCACTCTGGGGATCCTTTGTTGGGAGTCTTGAGGCCTACTCGGCGCGCCCCTCACGAAGAACGTGCTCTGTGAGTTCTGGGGCGCCCGCCAATGCAATCACGGGCGATGTGTTGGGTTTCTTAGGGTGGGTTCTTGGAGCATCCGCGTGCCCATCAAACCAGGGTCATACATGTTGGACGCACATCCTAACACACAAGACCATCATTCGGCTGAGTCTCGGAAGTCCCTCTTCATCTCTGCGTCGTCTCCCACTGGTATCCCCCCGAGCGGTCCCTGCCCTTGCCCCCTCGTCGCAGCGTCACCTTCTCCCATGCCCGTAATGCCTCCACGCCCCTCCAGACTCTCCAGATAGGTTTCCCAAATCAGGATGTCATCCCTCCTGTCCCCCTCTCCGCCTCCTCCGTTGCCCTTTTGGCTCAAACAAGCGATGCGTCGCACTGTCCGCATTCGCGGCTTATGCGTGACGCGATGCGCATCTGTGCGCCTTAGTTGGGGATGAGCCCCACGAAGCTGGGCAGTTGTACCGCGGCGTGCTTACGGTCGCCGCGCCAGCCCACGCATCGGGCATTGCCTGATGATCGTGATGCGCCTGAGCGGGTTGACATCGAAGAGAGTTTCGGTCGTCTTCCGCGCGCATGCTCACGCTAGTGAGCTGGAAACGTCTAAGTATCGTTCATGACGATATTTTCAAAATCGCGCTCGCGAGCGCCTGACTAGAACTGTAAGAGGGCAGCGGCCTGGGACTAGAACCAGCGCCGCGCCACCTCGCCCAGACCAGACCGCGACTAGAACGGCCACTAGAACCACTAGGTTTGAGGCCACGTTTTCCTAAATCCCACCAAACCCATGTCTTACCACCTCGACGACCACGCGGCCATGGTCCACGTGACGCCGAACTGCCCAGCGCTGGCCAATCGGACGAGGTGGATGTCACGCGGGACGTGCTCGATCTGCTGCGCTGCATTGCCGGCAGAACGGGCGACGCTGTACCGCGCGGGCAGCCCAGAGACGATGGTGCACCGCGACCACGGGTGCCACGGACTGGGCGGTCGCAGGAGGCGGCTGATCGATCGGGTTTGCTGCAGCGTCTGCTTCGGGCGGATGCAGTGGAGGCTGCCCGACGGTGAGTGAGTGAGGGAGGTCTCTTTTCGGCTGAGGTGAGGACCTCAGCAAGAGGCTCGAGGAAGGGTGTCGAGATATGGCCCCATATTTCCCCTTTCCCGCTCTTCCCATCCATTCCTCCAATCCATACCCGTTTCTTCGTTTGCTTTGCTTTTTCTGAGCTTGCTGTGCTGTAGCCGTTGTGGCTTCGAGTTCTGTTGAGAGAGAAAAGGATTGTCAAGATGCAAAGTCGCGTTTTTCAGCACCCGTGCATTTTTTGTTTGCTGCACTGCAGGATTCGGGCTTGTGTCCGGGTTTAGTGGGGTCTTGCAGGTTTTTGGGGCCTGTGTCCGGGCTTATCTTGGAAATGCTGCAGGTCTGGAAAAAATGGTTTCGAGGGATGTTCGGTGTCCGGGTCTAGTTTGTCTGGGTCCACGGGGCCCTGACTCCGCGCGCCAGGGAGGGGGGTCCAGCGCAGATCGAAGAAATCCGCGCGGAGCGCCAAACGTTTATGTCTGTGCAGGTGTTTGTTCCTCTAGACAAGGCGTGTGCCCTCGACCGCTCAATGAGTTCATGCGCTCGCTTTTGGCCATCGGCCGGTGGCCAATGGCCCTTTGTTTCCTTCTCCTCCCCGCCGCCACCTCCAGCCCGCGCCCTCCGCCACTGCGCCTTCTCCTCTCTCTCTCCTGCCGTTGCTCCTCCCACCTGTCCTACGTAGACACTGTCGTCTTCCCCTTAAGAGAGACTGTCTATGCATATAGATAGATCGATTTATCTTCGTACGAGTTTCAATATAACGATACAGTTATGTTTATGTACATAGATATGTACATATGTGTGTAGATGAATGCATATATATACACAGAGATGTAGGCGCACGCATATACATGCACTCGCACACACATATATATATATATATATGTATATATATATATATATATATATATGGGCAAGGGTACTCAGGTCACTCAGGTAAAAAAGACAGGTCCACGAATTCCCACTTTGAGAGCAGGCCCCCTCGGGGTGTGTCCCCACGGGCAATGAGGGTCCCAAGAAGTTTCGGGCTTAAGAGCGCCCCGAGAATCCCAAGATGGCTTTGAGACTGTCAACATGGCCCCCAAGACGCCCCGAGAGTGCTTCAATATGATTGTTATGAGTGTGTATATATATATATAGAGAGAGAGAGAGAGAAAAAGAAAGAGAGAAAGAGAGAGAGAGAGAGAGAGAAAAAAAAAAAAAAGAGAGAGAAAGAACGAGAGAGAGAGAGATACATTTGCATCTCTGCATGTATAAAGCGATACAGCAAAACTCTGCCTTCGTCACCCTTGCCCCTGGGCCTGCCCTTCCTGGTCACTCCCAGGGCATCAGGCCCTCTTCCAGATCACATGCCGTGTCCACCGATCCTTGCATCGCATCCCTTGGCTCTTCCTCGGGTTCACCCCCTGGTGCGTGGTTTTGCTGACAGCTGGCCTATCCATGCATGCGGGTGGCCGCCAAATGCAGCGCTGCCTCTAAGCGTGATTTCCCGCCGATTTCTGCTCCATTTCGATTTCTGCTCCATTTCGATTGCCGATCCGATTTACTTCGATCGCCGATCTGACTTATCGATTCGAGTCTGGGCTCTCCTGCCATGTGTTGAGGACCATTGCCTATGCTGAGTCTCGGGTGCTGCTTTTGTGTCGGGAGGGCTTGCTGCCGCGACCCAGACATCTTGCGGCCCTCCGCTGGAGAACTCGACTCCTCCCCCTGGCCCGCTCCTAACCTCTCACGCCTGCCCCCTTCCTCCGTGCCTCATGTCACCTGCGTGCCCCTTGGACAAGACCCTCCCCCTTGACGGCCGAAGGGGCCCCAAAGATCGCTCCACGATGCAGCAGCTGGCCAGAGAGGAAGAGCAGGATGAAGGAGCAGGAAGGATCAGGCCAGGGGGCTTGGCAGCACTGGCGCGGACAGGCCAGCACACCCAAGGTCACTGTGGCGTGGACTGGCCGGCATGTCCACAACATATTCTACCAGCATCGGCGGCGCGGGCAGGCCGGTACGCCCAAGAGCACTGCCGCGAGGATCACCGGGTACACCCAGACGCTTTGTGGCGTGGACAGGGCTCAGTATCGTGCAAGCTATCCCCATCCTCACCAGGCCATGGTACCTCGCCCCCACCATTTCACCACCCCCGTTGGGGACAGGCCCCTCGAAGCCCGAGGGGAACGGCTTATATTCACAGCTAGGGAGGCAAGTCGGCCAGCCGGGCCCAGGCCACGCCAGTGGAGATAGGGATCGATCAAAAGATGTTCGAGGACAGGGCATCCTGGTACACGTGTCGGCTCCTTGCCGTCCTCCCAGAGCTGGCAGGCTCAGCGGTTGACACCAACACCAAAATTTGCGGCGTGCCTCAACCGAGGAGAGATGACCCCGATCTCGGTGATGGTGGTAATACTCTGGCTTCTAGGCGGCCGAAATATTGCCACCAACACCGAAATCTCTGATCCTCTTCCCCCGGTGGGCGCGCGCCCCCCTGTTCTGGTGTTGGTGCCAATTTCGAAGCCTCCAAAGAGCAGAGCCACCCTCCGCCGCCACCCCTCCAGCCGGGAGCCGCCCCGCACAGGAGTTCGAGGCCGAGGGCGGCGATGGCGATATCGCGGCGGAGGAGGCGCGGGAACGCCTCCCGCCGTGTCGGGCTCGCCTCGCTCGTGGGCCGGTCGACGCCGACGCCGACGACGCCGACGATGACGATGAACGGTCCCCTCCTCCCTCCTCCTCGTCCCTCCTCCTCCTCCTCGTCCTCCTCCTCCTCCTCTTCCCTCCTCCCTCCTCCTCCTCCTGCTCCCTCCTCCTCCTTCTCCTCCTCCTCCTCCTTCCTCCTCCTCCCTTCCTCCTCCTCCTCCGACGATGACGATGAACGATGGACGCTGCTGGCCAGGCAGGGCCAGCGAGTCTGTCCGAGCAGGTCCTGGGCCCAGGATCGATCTGGCCGGTGTCGGTGTGGGGTGGGCGGCTGGGCTCCATACGGTCGTCGCCACGGAGGAGGAGGAGGAGGAGGAGGAGAAGGAGGAGGAGGAGGAGGAGGAGAGTTGGAGTAGGTGGTGGTGGTGGTGGAGGAGGAGGAGGAGAGTTGGATGAGGTGGTGAGGATCAGGAGGGCGCGCCTCGCCCTCCTGATCCTATCCCTCCTCATTCTGACTCGCGGCACCACCGCCTCCCGCTCATTCCTCTCTTGCCCTCAAGCACACGCCCCTTCTTCCATGTACGGAAACTCCCGATCGACCGCCGAGCGGCCGGCTAGTACCGAAGTCTAAGATCGAGGTCGGTCCGGGGATGTACTCTAATGTTGTTCGTGCTTGTCGTATGTTCTTGTGTATCCTGGGGGAGAGTGCCATCGGCGATCTTATGGTGTGGGGTGTTTTGGCTGGCGAAGGGTCTCATCTTCTTGGAGGATGCTCTTCTGTCCTAGGTCTGGCCGTGTGGGAGGGGAGAGGCGGAGGGCGCTGGCCCAAGAGCGGGTTCCTCCTCAATCTCCCCGAGGAATAGATAACTACGTAAATCTAGACTTCGGAGCTCCGCGCGGATTCCTTGGATCGGCGCTGTACCCCCTTCCCTTGTGCGCGGATTGTGGCAGGGCGGGGGCGCGGGAGGGCCCGCCATCGGGTAAGCCCCCAGCCCCAGGCGCTGCATGGCGCGCTCGCGGCCGCTGAGGCGGCGGCGAGGCCGTTCGCGGAGGAGGCTGGCGGGCGGAGCGCTCCGCTGGCCTCGCCCGCGGCTGCGGCCATTCCCAGGTCTCCTAGGTGGCATCGGCGGGTGCGCAGGAAACGCGGGCGAGCTCGACTTGCTCTACGGCTCCACCGTGCTGCGCAGGCTTTCCGTGGCCATCACCGGTCTCGTGTACCCGCCAACCTCATGGGCAAGGGTGCCAAACGCCAAGATGAGGTCAAGGGCCCAAGGGGCCGCTTGGCTTGTGTGGCGACTCGTGTGTGCGGGTATCAGCGCAATTTTCTTGATAACGAGCGCTGCTGCCAGTGTGGCAGGGACAGGCAGGGGCGGCCTAATCCCAGCGGCGCGACCCCTCCTGGCCACAGCAGGCGCTCTGCCTCGGCAAGGGCGGGCAGGCGCAGCAATGCGCGCGACAATGTCTCCGCCTGGTCCGCGCTTGAGGAGGTTGACCTGGTCGCCAGGGCTCGTAAGACTTTTCAGGCTCTTGGGCGACTGCAGCTCGAGGAGACATCTGAGCTCATCGTGGCCGCCAAGAAACAGTTGGCGCTCGCGGAGCAGCAGGGGCGCTCCAGTCGCACGCCTGATGACATGCTCAGGAGGGCCTTTGACTGGCAGTCCACCAAGCAGCGCGAGCATGATGCTCTCGAGGCTGAGCTTACTTAGCTGCAAGGGCGCAGCACGGTTGGAGGTCAGCACAGCCCGCGCCGCAGTCATGGCGGCCAGCGCCCCAGCAGAGTCTAGCAGCAACAGTGGTGTACAAGATGCGGAGCAGGCTTTCGGACGCTTGCAGGCCCTGGTTGCAGCAACGCCCATGGCGGTCCAGGCGGGCAACGCGGCGACGGCCCTGCAGTCCATCGGCAAGCACCCCTTGGAGCTGCATCGTGCATTCCGAGGGCCACAAACAGCACATGGAGCCGTCACGCACAGCCCCCTCTGGTGGTGCCTCCAACGGTCGTCGCCATGTAAGGTATCGACGCCTACCTGCATGGGCCTGCCACTGCATCCGACCTGCTACTACATGCACCTGTCCTTGCCCCTGCCCCAGCACCGCCGCAACCAACGCCTGCAACACCTACGGGACCAGCACCGTCAGCGGGCACACCGGGCACCTGCCACCCAGGGGCGCCCAATGGGACAGTATCTAGCTGGGCGTTGGACTTGAACATGACCGCCAGACAGCTTGACCGCCGTGCATTCAGAACTTGTTCGGTGGCGGATAGTCAGACTGTAGAGTCGCTGCACAGCGCTCACCAACATGATTCTCGCACGGTTTCGATTCAGCACCTGGCTGATGGCGAGTCAGATTATGCTCGGTGTGGTGTGGGATCTGTTTCTGGCGATGCTATTCCTCCTATCACGTGTGCTAATACGCGCGGGGGTAGCTCCTCCTCTCAGCTTGCGGGACTTGGGGCTGTGTCGTCAGCTAATACTTCTCAGATGCTGGATTCTAAGTCTGGGGCTGTCCTGCAGGGTAGTGGTGGGCCGCCGCAGCCGCACAGTGTCTCGCAAGCAGTCATATCGGGGCCTCAGGGTGCCAGTCCATATTGGGATGGTTGCCCTAATGACGGGTCTCTGGCGGGGCCCGCGCCTCGAGGTCCCGCGGTTTTGCTTGCCTCTGCGGGACCTGTGCGGACCGACGTCGGCGATGAGGGCGAGTGTCGCGCTTGTGCGCTACAGGTTCTTGGTTGTGGAGCGCCAGGAGATCGACGGAGATGCTCTCGTCATGGGCCTCGGCAGAGAGCCAGGATCGTCGATCCGACTCGCGTTGGAGACGTTCCTACGTCCGCTTCTCTTGGACGCCAGAGAAGCTGCGACGTCTACGAAGACTCTGGCCACTTGGGCGCTATCGATTCGCTCGACGGCGTGCTCGACTCCTCCGACGTCTCTGATGAAGCTGCCCAGGTGCCCGCGGGCCCTCAGCGCCGCGGGCCTGCGGGCCTGCCCGCTGGCCGCCGCTGGCGCCAGGCTGGGGGGGCGCGCCGCTGAGTAGGCGGGGCAGCGTGGGCGGTGCCTTGCAGCCTAGAGGGGCGGCGCGCTGGCCACGGGGGGGGGGGGGGGGGGCGGAGCATCCCGAGGCCCCGCCCCGAGGCAGGCGCTGCCATGCGACCGCTCCATGATTGACGCGCGGACTGATGTCATTTCCAACTCCAGGCCGTTCACGCATCTTCCGAGCGGTGGGGGCGCTCCTCCTTTCGGCCCACCTGGCCGCCAGAGGAGCTACGTCTATGACGACTCGGGCCTGTTCGGCGCTGACGACTTGCTCAACGGCGTGCTCGATTCCTACGACGCCTTGGATGAGGTTGCCCAGGTGCCCGCGGGCGCAGCGCGGGCGGGGCCTGGCGGCCTCGGGGGGCGGCGCGATGGCCAGGGGGGGGGGGGGGGAGCTCCCCGGGCACCCTGCGCCCCCCCCCCCCCCCGGGCGGGCACGGCTTCGCGACCGCTCCATGGTTGGCGCGCGGGCCGACGTCGTTTTCAATTCCAGGCCGCCCAGACGTGCCCCCAAAGGGTGGCAAGCGCAAAGACCTTCGCATTGCCGCGTTCAATGGCAGCGGCTGGCCGCAGTTGAAGGATGTTCTGGAGCGCGGATTGGAGTAGCACGTCGTCTGCGCCCGGGAGCTCAAGCCCAGGGGCGACGCCCTCGAGCGGGCGAAGGAGCGGGCCGCCAGCCGCGGCTGGGAGCCGTTTTTGGCAGAGAACTCTGCGAGCGACGTTGGCACCCGCTGCGCTGGCGTCGGCCTTTGCGCGCGGAGCCACGTCGGAGCAACCCTCCTCTCATCGTTCGTTGGCTCACATGTCCTCGAGTCGACGCGGCGTGCTCGTTCGGGGCGGTTTGCGACAGGGCTGCATTTTCGCTTCTGTCTGCCTTGAGCAGGGTGAGAAGCCTAGGGCTTCCAATGCCACGCGGCTTCGACCGCTCGGCATGCGCCTGTCGCGCTACAAGTTGCCTTTCACATTTGGAGGTGACTGGGGCGTCTCCCCCCGACATGTTAGACAGCTCCAGGTGGCCCGAACGCTTGAATGCAGGTATAGTCGCAGCACCTCGCGGCGCCTAACGCTATCCCAAGACGGCTGGGTACCCTTACTTGGACTACTGGGTTGCCACTGATGCGCTAACTTCTGTCATGCAACAGCCCGAGACAGTCCCAGATTCCCCCCCGCGCAATCATCGCGCCGCGCGTGCCTCCGTCGGGCCCACGGCTCGGGCCCAGCAGGCCTCCGCGTTGAGGGGCCTCTAGCCGTTCCCCAACAGGCCCACAGCTACGGAGCGCACTGACATTAGAAATGCCGATGACGAGCCTCAGTTTGAAAGCGCCCGAGGAGACCCAGGACTCGCTCATCGCGCGTGCAGGTGCGCAGCACAGGCTAGGCGACTCTGATACGCATCAGGCCCGACTGGGAGCTCTCTGTGCACATATATCGATGGGGCTGACGTCGAATTGTTACCATAGTTTGGAGTCGAACCAGGCTCTGCGCATAAGTGCACGGGAAGGGACGCGGGCCCTCGACGTGCCTAATCGACTGCAGGTGGCGCGTTTGCTTGTTTCCAGCCAGTTGCCACCGAGGCCGATCGCGCGCTACGCCCCCTGCAGATGAGAGTTTACAATGCCCGACTTGCGGCTGGCAAAGGCAGTCGGCGCGTTGCCGATGCTAGGCGATATTTATATCATGTCGTCTCCCAGGAGGGCAACGAGGGAAGGGTGAGAAGACGCGTGCCGCATGGCATTTGCATTCTCCCCACCTACCTCATAGGGCACGTCTACTCTCACCCCTTGCCTGGGCATCATGTTTTGCTGCGTCTTCTCGGTGACTACATCGGCGGGTTGGCCGAGAGCGAGGAGCGACGCTTGGCCGCGGCGCGTGCTCGATCTTTCTCGCCGCGGATTCGCGGGCACCTTCGCTCGCGACCAGGCACCGTGCATAGGTGGTCTAAGCCGAGGGGCTG